CTGGCTGGGTCAGGAACTGATCTGCTGGATTCGCCCATCCCAGCAGTGGCCTTCAGCGACCAGACTCTTGCCCTATCTACTTCGGACATGCCAGCAAAATCGCCAAAGTAGGCTGCAGCTCCTTCTCGGTTCTGACCCCATATGAGGTCCCAGATGTGGTCTGGGATTGGAATTCGGGGGGCCGAGAAACCCATTTCTCCAGATTGCAGAGTCTGGAAAGAAGGGAAGGATGACGATGGAGCTTGATTGGCTTTAGATGGCTCAGCATCATCCTTCTCAGAGGAGTCAATTACTATGACCTCCTCTTCTTCAGGGGTGAGGACGAAAGCCTCAACCTCTCTTGCGATGTCTGCCGTGAAGCCCTCAGCACTGGACATCACGGCATCCTTATTTTCGTGCTCAGCAGCACTCTCCCTGATTTCTTTTTGGACCCCTCCCTTTGATTCGGGAGTTCTCTGATCCACCTCCATCTCAGGAGGTGGCGGAGGGGTCTTTTGAGGTGATTGGGGTGGTGGCTGGGGAACCCTCGGCGATCCATTGCCTTCCTCGGGTTCCCTTATTGCAACGCCGATGGTCATCGGCCTTTGCTGAAAATCATGAGGGCCGATGATGGCCATCCTTCGGCGCCTTTTCAGAAGGGGCTGCTCGTCCATATCTGAGTCTGAAGACTCTCCTTGTGTTTGGTCTTCGGGACGAACAGGAGCTTTCCCTTCTCTATGTCTGTTGCTCTCTTCAGACTGTAACAGACAAGGGGGAGGAAGAATGTGAGTAAAAAAAAAAAAGAAAAGAAAGAAGAGAAAAAGAAAAAGTCAAGTATGAAAACTCACCGAGGTCTTCAGCAAAGCCTCGTCTTCTTCAGCTGCTCTAGCTGCAGCTTCAGCTTCAGCAGCTCTGGAGGACCCTTCTCCTCCTTCGCAAGCTTCGAGAACCCGTGCAACCTCTTCGGCTGTACGGGCAGCTTCAGCTTCTTCGTCCAGCAGCTGAAACCAGGGGTCTCTCTTCTTCCACCAAGGCTTCTGCCTCTGATACAGAGCAACAGCCTCAATTTGGAAGTGGGAAGAGTCTAGATGAACTTCCCTGTGCCTCGGTTCAGTGATAGACGGGGCTCGTTCAGTTACAACTCGTTCTCGGTTGACACCAAGACGAGCGTAGTTAATGCCAACGTTGGTCTCGTCCCGCTCTGAAAAAGAAAAGGGGAAAGGTCAGTTCAGATAGGTTGGCATAGTATAAAAAAGCGAAGCAAGAGAAAATTAAAAGCCTCGGCCCCAGCCGAAGAAGCTTACCATCCTTAAACTTTCGGCTGAGGCCAACAGCTGCTAGCATGTTCTCTTGGAAAACGTAATGCGTATCGGGGAGCCAAGTCTCCGGGATATGCTGCATTCGGCCACTACCCCCCCGGTTCGGCAGCTTGCCGAAGATATGTTGCTGATCCAGGTTCGGATCCGCCCCGTTATCTGAGGGGGGACCTAGACTTCCCATTTCGGGATCAGGCTCAGCAAGGTACCGGGGAGCGCTGAAGACGCAAGGGTGGCCCGGATCTGTGGGTGCCCTAACCCAAATCCATTGACCTCTCCAGTCCTTGTCTGAAGAGTCGTTCGGCCACATGGTTAGGTATTGGGGCCGGGACTCAATCCGGTACCACCCAGAACCATGGCTCCCGTGCCCACTCTGAATATTTGGCACTAGCCGATGAAGCTTTTTGAAGCAGTGCAGGTTCGGCTCATACTTGAAGAACTTGCAGACCCATAAATATGTCATCACCCTTCGGATGCTGGTGGGAGTTAACTGACATAAAGAGATGTTGTAATGGATCAGCAAGTCTCGGACGAATACGTCCAAAGGGAACCTCAGCCCATACTGAAGCTGTCTTGTGTACACCCCCACATACCCCGGGGGTGGACGATGGATTCTATCGGATGCCGAGGGCATTCGGCACCAATACCCATCAGCTTCAAAAATGCCGTAATGCAACTCAATTTGCTCGGCAAACCGATATTGATCGGCATTCTCTACCCACCATGAGTAGGGGCGGTTCTTTATCATGGCCGAAGCTACTTCGGCATTCTCCCATTCTGAAAACCCGGGGAGGATATCCCAAAGGACAGCGGGAACTTCATCGTCCCGTCCAGAAGCGCTCGGCTCCTCCGTTCTCTGAGGAGGAGCCGAGGAAAGGGGAGTCGCCCTAATCCCTTCAGCAGGCTCAGACTCTGGCCTTTGTCCATTCCAGGTTCCAATCCTGTTCCTAGGATCGGGAATCGGCCTTGCTCTTCTTGGAGCACGGGCTCTACCTCTAACTCCTCTTGCCATTGATTATTTCGAAGAAAAAAGTCGAAAGAAAAGGGGAAGGAGTTCGAATTCGAAGAAAAATAAACTGAAATCAAAGGAAATTACCTTAATCTGAAGCGAAAGTTGCCGATTTACGAGTTCGTAGTGGCAAGTCTCAGTTTCTAAGCTTAATGCTCGGGGAAATTGCGAAGTTTTGATGCGGGTTCTTGGTTTCTCTCTCGAGAATTCTGGGTTTGTGTTGGTGAATAAGTGAGGAGAGATGACGCGCCTCTGTTTATATCTCCAGGTATGGAATTCGAGGAGTTTGCGTTTTAATTTCTCTTAAATACTCCACTAAGTAACCGTTAAAACACATGATCTTTTGATTAAAACTGCCCATTACCCGTCCAACTTCCACAATCATCCACCTTAACCGTTGTTATCTCATTAATTACGGTTTAAATTCAAATTTTTGGATTAATCAAATCATTTACTTCCCTCCTTTTCTGAATTAAATCAAACCCGACCTGTCATCCTTCCAAATCGGGTCTGGGGGGCAAGTTGTTTGGGTCCAATTTAGTCCAATTGGGCCTAGGCATTAAATGATCCAATTAAAAGCCCAAGGCCAAGGTTCAACTCTCCAATTGTGCTAAAGTCAATGGTCAGCCCTCAAAGCAAGTCAATTGGGCTAAGGCCCAACCTATCCATTTATGAAGAGGTATAAAAGCCTTCATTATTCATACATACATATACATGTTCATTAATACATTCTGAGATATTACAAAAAAGCCTCAAGCAACAAACTCTCTTGCATAGTGTTCTCTTTAACACATTGTACTGACTTTAGCATCGGAGGGGCCTTCCTCGGCAACACCCCCGAGGCTAGTTTACGTGTGTTTACTGTGCAGGAAACCTTCGGCCCAACATACATTGGACCGAATCCAGTCTTCTCCATTTCAGTGGACCTTCGGCAAGGTCCCATTGTTTTCACCCGAAACAACTAATATTGTAAGTCTCTCTCTTTCTCTCTCTCTTTATCGAGTCAGTAATATACGCAAAGTTTTTTTTTTTTTTTATTTTAAAATGCAACATATCTTCTTGGTATAATAAATAGATACCATGCCCTATTTATAATTAAGCCCTTTTTCATTATTGAACATGTTCTTTTATCGTACAGTAGAGATAAACAAGCATTTGATTCATCAATGAATCTCTTTTAATTTCTTTATAGTACGCCTATAATAACCTAGTATCAATCATTAATGAGCAAGCCTCTTCTTTGTGTAGTACAAATGGACAAAATTAGGTTCACCTATGAACCTTCTTTCTCCATAGTATGGATAAATAAATGGACTTTTTTCACTAATGATACTCCTTTCTTCAATCCATAGTACGTATAGACATGTATCATTGCAGGTATCAATGATCAATTCATTAATGAACCTCGCTCTTTTTTGTATATCTATAGACTATAGTATAGATATAAACATAAAACATGTGTACTAGGTTCATTATTGAACTTCTCCATCAAAGAAATTAAAAAATTAGAGCATTAGGTTTACCAGTGAATTAACCCTTTTTTTTTTTTTGTTAAAATCTTTTCTTAATTTTATGGTTAAAGGAGATGAAATAGATTCATTGATGATTTTTTTTTTAACAGCTAGAGAAAATCAAAGTTTATCAATGGAAAGAAAAAATCAACTTTGATAGCCTTGAAGAAAAGGAAGATAACCTTTTTTTTTCATTTTTTTTTTCTAATTTTTTGAAAGGAAGGAAGATAAGTTAATAAAATGATTATTAGAAAACTATTATGATTGGTGCGTGGTAGGAATGGATGGGTCAGGATTAAACTAAATAAATGGTTAGAATGAGACATCTCACCATACAATATATACGAATCATCAATACTATATACTAAAAGGCACGCTAGCGATGACACATGTCATCTTCTGGTGTGTCCTTAGTTATTTATTTTAAAAAAATATTTTAATTAAAGAAACAAATCATTTACAAAAATCATATTTTTTTTGTACATATTCCATATTGCCACATAATAATTATTATATTTAAAATAAAAGATTTATTCATAAATTTTTCAAAAAAAAAATCAATACTATATACTAAAAGACACACTAGCGAAAAAACGTGTCATCCCCTGGTGTGTCCTTAGTTTTTTTTTTTTCGAATTTTTTAAAAAATATTTTAATTAAAGAAACAAATCATTTACAAAAATCATTTTTTTTACATATTCTATATTGCCACATAATAATTATTATATTTAAAATAAAAGATTTATTCATAAATTTTTCTAAAAAAAAATTGGGCAATATATACCAAAAAAATATTACTTAGATTTTTTGCCTACTTTGTTTTAGTTGTGTATTGGAAGCTACAATTAAAATTGCAAATATCAAATTAACATATCACAAACTTTTATTATTTCTTGACTAATTTATGATTATAATATTTCTCAATCAATAATATATAACTATTTATAAAGATCACCGTGCATGGCACGGAATCTAATCTAGTATGCTTTCAAAGTTTAAGTCTATACTTTCTTCAATTAAATTTATAAAGTGAGTTTTCAATGTATATTACTGCGTATATATTGTTGTGTGTTGTTGCGTAAACTTTTGTATTTCTCTACATGCCATCTAAAAACAAAAATTCAACGAAAAAACCAGAATCAATTTACTTTTTGGTCACTTGAAGTTAAAAATTTTAACTGTGTAATTAATTTGATATGTGAAGCAGATAAACAAATATTAACAATATGGACGCAAATGGCATCTCATCTTCTTGCAACAATGATGACAAAATCTCATCTTCTTGTAACAACAACAAAGACAACATCTCATCTTCTTGCAACAACAACAATGAAACATCTCATCTTCTTGCAACAACAACAATGACAACATCTCATCTTCTTGCAACAACAATGATGACAACATCTCATCTTCTTGCAACAACGATGACAACATCTCATCTTCTTGCAACAACGATGACAACATCTCATCTTCTTGCAACGCCGATGACACCATCTCATCTTATTGCAACGATGATCCATATCCTATATCTCAAGATGAACAAACCCGAGAGGTTACAGTTAGATTTGTGAAAGGGAGCGTCTTATTCAATTTTTTCAACCAAGAGATAAAAAATGGTGTTATGGTGAAAATCATCCAAGAGATAGAGAATCGTACCTAAGTATCACCAACTACAATGCTATTCCACTCAATGGTGGTTCAACTTTTAATGTAACTATGGTGGCTCAGGTATGTTAGTTTATCTTCCTAAAAATTTAAATAAATGCGTATTATATTAACACATTTGGTCAACTAGAAATTATAGTGTGCGGAGTACTAGAAAACTTTTATGGAGTAACCGATAACTGAGCCCTAAACTTGTTCCGAGCTTGCAAAATCTCTGTTTTCCTTACATTGTTTTTGGAACTTGCAACGATCAAATTTTCATTTTTGTCCATTCATGGAGTACTGTAGTAATACAGTACCGAGTAATTATAACTCACTCTGTTTCAAAATAAATGCCCAAAATATGACAACGTAAGGTTTTGACCAATTAATGCCTATGATAGAGTATAAAACATATTCTTGGGCCTCAACCATCAGCTTAAGCTTTTGGTTGAATTGGTCCTCTAACATGGTATCGGAGCCAGCGTGACACAAAAGTCACGGGTTCGAATCTCATCCGCCCCTCCTTCAAAGTGGAATTAATTCGCACCAGGTATGGGTTGTGTGTGTGTGTGTTTTTTTTTTACTCCTACTATTGCCAATTGGTTTTAGTGTGGTAATATCCTTTTGCCTATATATATTCAAATGCAAAAGCTAACAAACGTCCCAGGGGCGTTGGATAAGCTAGTTAAAGTAGAAAGATTAAATTAAAATGAACATTAATTACATCGATCGACGTGTGATTTTGTCATGCTTTCCTAAATTAATACCATTTTAGGCAATATTTTAAATCTTTATTCAACGCCCCGGGGCTCATTAGCAAGATCTTTATCATTGACGACCCATATGCTTAGTGTTTATTGAGCTATTGATAACATATCATATTTCATTCTATTTGCAGACGGAGCCAAATTTCAATGTAAGCCAAGATGGCCAACAAGATTTTGTGAACGATTTTCTTAACTCCATTTGATTAGATACGTTATATATATATATGGAGTAATTTGTAACCATCTCTCATTGCAGAATTACATTTGTGAGTATGTTATGAAACTCGGTAAATTACTTAATTTCAGATGCTACCTTACTATTCATCATGTTGATAGTAAGCTAGCTAAGCATGTTAGTTGGACTCTTAAGGTTTAATATTGGTGTAGAATGTTGAGATCAATTAATCCCTTAAGCTATATTTATTGGGTGTAAGCCATTTGGAATTTCGGATTTTTTATCCTATTCATTAGTTGTGTAGAAATGTTTATCCAGTTTTATATATGCAGTGTTCACCAAATAATAATGACTTGCTTATTATATAAGTTTAATATCACTGTTTGAACCTTATATAATGATATATGCAACCCTAAAATCCTACTAATGTTTAAAAATGAGGTCTAATACTTAGTTAGCCTTTTGCTTCGGAGTGAAATTTAATCACATAACTGTTGTACACCTAGCTAGGCTTGGAATGAAGTTCATTCATTTTTTATTTTTAGGGCAAAACCGTTACCTAAAGACCCTATTCGACATAGTATGAGTTATTGTTTGCTTGTTTTGCGTTTCCTTTACAAAAATGAACTAAACGCATTTGGCTAGCATTGCCAATTAATTAGTTAATAGAAAACCTACCGCTCCTCAATCAATTACAATCATGATATAAAAGTTGGTTGGTGTTAGAGATATCGGAAAATATATGTGTGATATATTTTCCGTAGATATCATTTAAGAGAATAATATATTTAATTAGAGTATTTATGTTAAGATATTATTTTGAGAATATATCTTTAGGGTTTATGGTTAGATGTATATCTTTTAGGAAGATTGTTTCCTATCTTATGAGCATAGGTTTTGTATAAATACTCTACCTATTGATGAATAATAATCAAGGGATATAATGACGTCATAGTTGGGTTTAATAGAGGTTTGGTAGTAATCGCAACATCTTAAAAAATTTTGCGGTAGTAATTCACAACTTTTTTAATTTGCGGTAGTAATTTGACCTTCACATATCAAAAATAAAAGGTCAAAAGTAACCTTGTGGTATTCACTTTTCCAATATATACCTCTCTCTTTTCAAACTTCCACCTTGAAACCTCAAGGTACATTAAGTGATTACGCTGTAACCTTGGCATTAACTTCAAGAAACTACTTTTTGGTTACAAGTTTTGGTCAAGAAGTTGAAGTAAAAAATTTGACCTTTTATTTTTGATATGTGAAGCAGATAAATACATCAACAAGGCTATGGATGAAAACAATAGCGGCATCTCATCTTCTTGCAACGATGATTCCTACTCTATATCCAGTGATGAGCAAATTGCAAAGATTAAAGTTAAATTTTCAAAAGAGAGTATTCAATTCAAATTTTACCACCAAAAAATACAAAATGGTGGGGGTGTAAACAATGGGTCCTTTGTCAGGACCATACCTTTCCTGTGGACCAAAGATTATACTCGGCCTAAGTGATGACTGAGATGAGGGTTTTCCGCACATCAAACACACATAAATTGGCCTCGGGGGATGTACTAAGGAAGGCCCCTACGATTTCGAAGTCACTACAAAGAAAGTTACTCCCTCCGTTTTTAAATACTTGCTCCACTTTCCATTTGCGGCCGTTTTTAAATACTTGCTCCATTTTTCCTTATTTGGAAAGTATTTACAATAATTAATTAATTTCTTTCACCTAGCGGACCTAACATATATTCTCTTTCCTCCAATTCTCTCCAATACTTTCTACAATTTTTTATTCTTTTACCAACCCCATTATCTCCATATTATATTACTTTCTCCTAAATGGAGAAATGGAGCAAGTATTTAAAAACGGAGGGAGTATGTAAGAGAATTAATTGTTTGAGGCTTAATCTGAATTAATGTAGAGAGAGAGAAAATGAATGTAGAGAGAGAGAACTAAGGCTTTTATACCTTACTCATTTAGCTTGAATGGGCCTTTAAGCCGAGTGGGCTTGCCACATTGACTGGGCGTGCTTTGACTGATTTGACATGCTTGGGAGTTGGGAGAGTTCGTTGAACCTCCTTTGGGCTTGTAATTGAATCATTTGTGGACTGACTCAATTGAAGTAACTTGGACCCAAACAGGTGTTTTAATCAAAATCATCAAAGAGATAGAGAATCGTAACCTAATTATCACCAACAAACATCAATACTCTCCCAATCAATGGTACTATTGATGTAGTCACGGTGGCTTAGATATATATTTATTTTCGTATGAATATAAAACAATACGTAAAATATAAGGAAAAATTGTGAGAAAAATCCTTTTAAGTAGGTCTTTTTGTTGTAAAGGTCCTTTTAAAAAATAATAAAAAAAAAACTAAAACAAAAGGTCATTTTATCGCATTTTGGTTATGGCGAGGGTGCTTGACCGGATTCCGACCATTGACTTCTTTTTTCTGAACAAAAAAAGTCACGTGCACACTTAAAATCCCTTTACCCCGTGGCATGGCTCGATTTGTCTTCAATTGCCTTCAATCTTCATGTGAGGGACTGGAATTTGAGTTTGATCGATGATTTATTTCACAAAATAGGCTTCACACTGATGTTAATGATGAAGAAATTAAAGGGGATAATGGATTTTAAATGGATACGTACAAGGCACCTAACGTTTTTTTGGTTGGGAAAAAAAAAGTCAATGGCCGGAATTTGGTTAAAGGACCCTCGTCACAACCTAAGTGTGATAAATAACGTTTTATGCCACATTTTCGTAAAAGGACCTTTACAACAAATTTTTTGTAATGACATAATCAAGACATTGTCTGGATCCAAATATTAATTGTAATTTAAAAAGGAAACATTAGTTTATATATACTTCATTTGTTGTATTGATAATAATACCAATCATTTTGACTCTTATTTGCAGAAGGAGGCAAATTTCAATATGATCCAACATGCCCAAAAAGATATCTTCGTTCTATCTGCCATTAGATATTTCTGATCATGGGGATTACACTGCCAAGTGACGTTTGTGAAAGTACGAAACTGCGAAATTCGGCATATAAATATCAATTGCTACCTTACTAGTTATCACGTTGATAGTAAGCTAGCTTGCTTAGAAGTTAGAACGTTGATAGTACTCGTAGAGTTGTAGTTATTTTCATATTGAACTGTTAATTAGTTGGTTATAAGCTACTCAGATCCATTTTTGGAATTTCGAATTCTAATGCGTTTGATTTAGTGTTTGATACATACATGGTTTTTGTAGATAGGCATGTTTAATTTGTCAAGCTCATATCGGCCTAAACTAACACAAAAACACAATGTTTATGAAATACGCAGGTTAAAAATAAAAGTGTATATCAAATACACATTTTGTTTTATAAGGCAGCTAATATTGACAAACATTAACTCTAATCTCATTAGACAACTTTAATTAAGAGATCAAAGTTGAACCTGATCATATTTGCTTTAGACATCATAATTTTAAAATGTTTACTCTAATTAACCCAAGACTATGTATATTAAACATCGATTTTAATAAGCACAAATCAATGTGAATCAGAAATCAAATTGATCAATAAAAACAATTAAGATGAAAATATTCATTTGACTGTTCATAAAATTCAAGTAATCTAAAGAGTTGGTAGACTTGAAAAGTAAAAAAAACCTCCCATTTCACATACCAAAGTCGAGCAAGTAGCTACTAGTATATATATAGTCAACCTTTGACTTTTCCTAGTACGACAAGATTAGTCAAACTTTAACATTGAGAAACTTTCAACGCGTAGATTCACTGACCAAACTAAACTCCCCATTAAATCCATTATATAAACGTTCCAAATTAAACCATATTCATTAAATCTATCAGTTAGTTATATTCCAACTCTAAAAGGAGATATCATACATTAAAACATCTACTCGTACTATAAATAGGATTTGGGAAAAAGATAATAATGAGGAAATCCGAGGAAATGAAGAGTTTGAGCGTAAATGCAGATGGAAAATTCAAGCGGAATTATTCTCAACCTGAACTTTATAAAAGTTTTTCTCCTAGAACTCCCAACAAGCTCATCATCAGCTCCTCCCCCGAATCTTATTCGTATTCGACTACTCACAATGTAAGTATGCATTTTGTAGTTAGTGGGGCTCGAACTTGAAGGTAAGTTCTCCACCAACTTCACCAAATTTTGCTTGGTGTATGTATATATTAATATAGATCATATACAACGAGCGTATTTTAATGGTTTTATTGTTTGTGTGATTGTGTAGGTTGAGGCATATAAGAAGAAAACAACGCGGAAGCTCAATATAAAGAAACCACCAACGCCAAAAACTAACCCGGGAAAACCTGGTTCACATAATTAGACATTAATAACTACGATTTCATTTGTACATACATAATCTATGTTCCGAGAGTTCTTTGAAGGGTTTCGAATTGAACCCCGGATATATGATACAAATTTACCTGATTATGTATCATAATTAGGACTATGTTTATGTAAGAATAATTAATATAGACAAATAAAGTTGAGACATTGTATTGCAAGAAATACGAAAGATATATACAAGAAACTTTGTTGCCTTTGAATTTAATTTGTATTAACTTCTTTAAGGCCGCTGACTTCTAATAATCTAACCAAGCAAATCATGTCTTCATGTACCAGCGGACTAGCAGAGTAATGTGGTTTCAATACAAAATACAACTATACAAGTATAAATTATTCTAATTCTAAATGTATCGCTGTCAAAAGTTGATCCGACCCGAAATACCAACTCAAACTCGATTATTAACCGACCCATCTGAACCCGAAAAAATGGTGACTCAAACCCGACCTGAAACCAACCCTAGGCTCGAGTTGACCCGAGTATGTGAGACCCGTACCCGAACATGATTACATGAACTGACCTGGAGATGACCCGGTCCGAATGTAACCCGTAAATTATTGACCTCAACCGAACCCGACTTGAACCGAAATTGACCCAAACCCGTTTTAACCCGTCAAAACCCAAATTTAACCCGACTTGTTACTAACCTGACCTGAATTCAACCCAACCCGTTCCTAACCCACCCGAATTTAACCCAACCTGTTACAACCCGACTTGTTATTGACTAGACCCAAATTCAACCCGACTTATTATTGACCCGACCCGAGTTTTACCAGACCTATTACTAACTCGACCCAAAAATTCAACCCGATCTATTACTAACCCAACTCGAAATCAACACAACTTGTTATTGACTCAACCCGATTGTTTCCGACCCGATTTCAAATCACCTTAAATGCAATTTAGACCACCTTATTATTGTTGATCAAAGCATTTAGTCTAGAGAGACCAAATCGGTCCAGGCCAGCAAAAGAAAAGAGCATCATCCTCAAATTTAAAAGTTAAATATAGTATACTATAGATAACTATATAGTTCCCTAGTACATTGTCATATATATTCTAGTCAAAGGTAATAATTAGCTTGATAAAAATGATAATTATCTATTTATAGTTAGTTGACTCCAAAAAATGACCTGACTTGGAAACAACACGACCTGATTGTAACCTGCAAATTATTGACTTGAACATAACCCGACCTGAATCCGAGAATGACCCGACTTGGAAATGACCCAACTTGATTATAACCCGCAAATTATTGACTTGAACCGAACCTGCCTTGAACCCGAGAATGACCCGACTTGATTATAACCCGCAAATTATTAACTTGATCCAAAAACAACTAAAACCCGAGAATGACTCGACCTGATTATAACCCGCAAATTATTGACTTGAACCGAACCTGACTCAAACCCGAGAAAAATCCTAGCCCGTTTTAACCCGTGAAAACCCGAATTAAACCCGACCTATTGTTCACCCGATCCGAATGTAACCCCACCTATTATTAACCCGATCTAACTCGACTCAAACCCGTTAAGAAGTATGACCCGACGTAACCCGATTCAAGCGTGACCCAACCCAAACCTGACCCGCATTGGTTATGGAATTAATCTGAATTGACCCGACCCGAGTTGACCTGACCCACTCTTACCAACCCAAACCCGACCCGATTACCCGAGTTAACAACTCTACCCGAAACCTCCAAAATTTCTCAAAAAGCGTGGATATTGACCTTCAATTTTGGAACTTTTTGACTTTTTTTTTCACCCGAAAAATCAAAATTGCCGAAATGTTTACCATGATCTCTAATTCCCTCCGGCAGTCCAATTGGGTAGGTGGAACCAACTAATTTGCCTTTAAACGGTCAATTTACAAATTTACAACTTGCACCGATTTCACTAATTTAAGCCTACCACGAAAATTTATGACAACATACAATGATTATATATGGTTCCAAACAGCATTATATGATCCCGAGATTTATCCCCTAAAATCTCAAGGCTTTTCGTCAACGGGCCCCGAAACCTCCAAAATTTCTCAAAAAGCGTGGATATTAGACTTTAAATTTGGAATTTTTTTTACATTTTTTCGCACGGAAATAAAAATTGCCGAAATGTTTACTATAGTCCCTAATAACCTTCGGGAGTCCAATAGAGTGGGTGGAACTATCCAATTTTGCGTTTAAATGACCAATTTACCAGTTTACAACTTGCACCGATTTCATTAACTCAAGTCTACCACAAACATTTATGACAACAAATAATGATCATATATGGTTCTAAACGGAATTATATGACCCCAAGATGTATCCCCTATAATCTAAAGGCTTTTCGATAACGGGCCCCAAAACCTCCAAAATTTCTTAAAAAAACGTGGATATTAGCCTTCAATTTTGGAATTTTTTTACTTTTTTCGCACGGAAATAAAAATTGCTGAAATGTTTACCATGGTCCTTAATATCCTCCGGGAGTCCAATTGGGTGGGTGGAAATATCCAATTTGCCTTTAAACGACCAATTTACCGGTTTACAACTTCATCGATTTTATTAACTCAAGCCTACCATGAATATTTATGACAACATATAATGATCATATATGGTTCCAAACGACATTATATATCCCGATATGTATACCCTAAAATATCAAGCCTTTTCGACACCAGGCCTCGAAACCTTCTGAATTTCTCAAAAACCGTGGATATTAGACTTTAATTTTGGAATTTTTTGACTTTTTTTTTCGCCTGTAAATAAAAATCGGCGAAATGTTTACCATGTTCCCTAATACCCTCCAGGATTCCAATTGCGTGTGTGAAACCATCCAACTTGCCGTTAAATGACCAATTTACCGTTTTTTAACTTGCACCTATTTCATTAACTCAAGCCTACCACGAACATTTATGACCACAAATAATGATAATATATGGTTCCAAACGACATTATATGACCTCGAGATGTATTCTTTCATATCATAAGGCTTTTCAACACTAGGTATCAAAACCTCCGAAATTTCTTGAAAAGTGTTGATATTAGGCTTCAATTTTGGAATTTTTTGACTTATTTTCGCCCGGATTTAAAAATTTCCGAAATGTTTACCATGTTCCCTAATACCCTCCGGGTGTCCAAATTGGTGGGTGTAATTATCCAATTTGCCAATAACAGCCAATTTACCAGTTTACAAATTGTACGGATTTCATTAACTCAAGCATACTACAAACATTTATGACAACAAATAATAATCATAAATGGTTTCAAACGGCTTTATATGACCCCGAGATATATCTTCTAAATTTTCAATACTTTTCGACACCGAGCTCCGAATCCTCCAAAATTTCTCAAAAAGCATGGATATTAGCCTTCAATTTTGAAAATTTTGACATTTTTCGCCCTAAAATAAAAATTGTCGAAATGTTTCCCATGACCCCTAATACCGTCTGGGAGTCCCATTGGGTGGGTGGAACCATCCAATTTGCCTTTAAACGACCAATTTACCGGTTTACAACCTGAACCGATTTCATTTACTCAAACCTACCACGAACATTTATGAAAAAAAATAATGATCATAAATGGTTCCAAACGGCATTATATGACCCCGAAATGTATCCCTTATAATTTCAAGAATTTTCGACCCCGGGCCCCGAATCCTCCAAAATTACTCAAAAAGCAAATGCCTTTAATTTTGGAATTTTTTTACTTTTTTTCTTCCGGGAGTAAAAATTTCCGAAATGTTTACAGTAGTTCCTAATACCCTCCAAGAGGCCAATTGGACTCCAATTGGGTTGGTGGAACCGTCCAATTGGCCTTTAAACGGCCAATTTACCGGTTTACAACTTGCACGGATTTCATTCACTCAAGCCTACTACAAAAAATTACGACAACATATAATGATCATATATGGTTCCAAACGGTATTATATGACCCCAAGATGTATCCTCTAAAATATCTAGACTTTTCTACACCGGATCCAAAAACTTCGAAATTTCTCAAAAAACGTGGATATTAGCCTTCAATTTTGGAATTTATTGATTTTTTTCGTCCGGAAACAAAAATTGCCAAAATTTTTACCATGGTCCCTAATACCCTCCGGAAGTCCAATTAGGTGGGTGGAACCATTCAATTTGCCTTTAAACTGCCTTTAAACGACCAATTTGTCGGTTTACAATTTGCACGGATTTCATTAACTCAAGCCTACCACAAACATTTATGACAACATATAATGATCATATATGGTTCCAAACGACATTTTATGACCCCCACATGTATCCCCTAAAATCCCAAGACTTTGCGACATTGAGCCCGAAACCTCCAAAATTTCTCAAAAAGCGTGGACAATCAGCCTTCAATTTTGGAAAATTTTGACTTTTTTCGCCAAAAAATAGAAATTGCAGAAATGTTTACCATGATCCTTAATACCCTCCGCTAGTCTAATTGGGTGGGTGGAACCATCCAATTTACCTTTAAACGACCAATTTACCGGTTTACATTTTGCACCGATTTCATTAACTCAAGCCTACCTCAAACATTTATGACAACAAATAATGATCTACGGTTCCAAACGACATTATATGATCCCGAAATGTATTCCTTAAAATCTCAAGGCTTTTCAATACTGGGCCCCGAAACCTCCAAAATTTCTCAAAAAGCGTGGATATTAGCCTTTATTTTTTGAATTTATAGACTTTTTTCGCCCGAAAATAATAATTGCCGAATTTTTTACCACGGTCCTTAATACCCTTCGCGAGTCCAATCTGGTGGATGGAACCATCCAATTTGCCTTTAAAGGGCCTATTTACCGGTTTATAACTAGCATAGATTTCATTAAATCAAGCTTACCACGAACATTTATGACGACATATATTGATCATATATGGTTCCAAACATCATTATATGACCCCGAGATGTATTCCCAAAAATCTCAAGGCTTTTTGACACCATGCCCCGAAACCTCCAAAATTTCTCAAAAAGCGTGAATATAAGCATTCAATTTTGGAATTTTTTGCCTTTTTTTTTCCTAGAAATAAAAATTGCCAAAATTTTTACCATGATCCATAATACCCTAGGGAAGTCCAATTCGGTAGGTTGAACTCTCCAATTTGGATTTTAACGGCCACTTTACCGGTTTACAACTTGCACTGATTTCATTAATTCAAGTCTACCACGAACATTTATGACAACAAATAATGATCATATATGATTCCAAACGGCATTAAATGACCCTGAAATGTATCCTCTAGAATTTCAAGACTTTTCGACACCGGACTCCGAATCCTCCAAAATTATAAAAAAAAAACGTGGATATTAGTCTTCAAATTTTGGAATTGTTTGACTTTTTTCGCCAAAAATAAAATTTGCTGAAATATTTACCATGGTCCCTAATTAATACCCTCCAAAAGTCCAATTGGGTTGGTGGAACATCCAATTTGCATTTAAACGTACAATTTAACGGTTTACAACTTGCACGGATTTCATTAAATCAAGCATACTACGAACACTTATGACAACATATAATGATCATAAATGGTTCCAAATTAAATGACATTATATGACCCCGAGATATATCCCTTAAAATTTCAAGACTTTTCGACACCGGTCCCCGAATCTTCCAAAATTTCTTAAAAAGCATGGATATTAGCCTTCAATTTTGAAATTTTTGACTTTTTTTCGCCTAGATATAAAAACTTCCGAAATGTTTCCCATGACCACTAATACCGTCAGGGAGTCTCATTGGGTGGGTGGAACCATCTAATTTGCTTTTAAACGACCAATTTACCAGTTTACAACTTGCACCAATTTCATCAACTCAAGCCTACCACGAACATTTATGACGACAAATAATGATCATAAATGGTTCCAAACTGCATTATATGACCCCGAGTTGTATCCCCTGGAATTTCAAGACTTTTCGACACCGGGCCCGAAACCTCCAAAATTTCTCAAAAAAGTGGATATTAGTCTTCAATTTTGGAATTTTTTGACTTTTTTCGCCCAGAATTAAAAATTGTCGAAATGTTTACCATGGTCCCTAATACCCTCCGGGAGTCCAATTGGGTTGGTGAAACCATCCAATTTTCCTTTAAACGGCCAATATACCGATTTATCACTTGCATGGATTTCATTAACTCAAGCATACTACGAACAATTATGACTACATATAATGATCATATATGGTTCCAAACGAAATTATATGACCCCGAGATGTATCCCCTAAAATATCAAGACTTTTCTACACTGGGCCCCGAAACCTCCAAAATTTCTCAAAAAACCGTGGATATATTTGTCTTCAATTTTGGAATCTTTTGACTTTTTTTTTGCCCGAAAATAAAAATTGGCGAAATGTTTACCATGGTCCTTAATACCCTACGGGAGTCCAATTGGGTGTGTTGAACCATCCAATTTTCTGTTAAACGACCAATTTAATGATTTACAACTTGCACCGATTTACCGATTTACAACGGCCAATTTAATTAACTTGCACCGAACCCGACTTGAAAAGAAATTGACCCTAACCTGTTTTAACTCGTCAAAACCCAAATTTAACCCGACGTGTAACCTGACCTGAATTCAACCCGACCCGTTCCGAATTCGACCCGAATTTAACTCAACATGTTACAAACCCGATTCGAAATCAACCCGACTTGTTATTGACTTAACCCAAATTCAACCCGACTTATTATTGACCCGACCCAAAAATTCAACCTGATGTGTTACTAACCAAACTTGAAATTAACACGACTTGTTATTGACCCGACCAAAATTCAACCCAAATTGTTCCTGACCTGATTTCAAATCACCTTAAATGCAATTTAGACCACCTTATTATTATTGATCAAAGTATTTTGTCTAGGGAGACCAAGTCGATCTAGGCCAGCAAAAGAAAGGAGCATCATCCTCAAATTTAAGAGTTAAATATAGTATGAATTTGTTGTATGGTCAAAGGAAATAATTATCTTCCTAAATTATAGACTATAGATCCTTAGTATATTGTCATACATATTATAGTCAAAGGAAATAATTGGCTTAATAAAAATGATAATTATCTATTTATATCTAGTTGAACCGAAATATGATATGACTTGGGAATGACCAGACCTGATTGTAACCAGCAAATTATTGACTTAAACATAACCCGACTTGAATCCGAGAATGACCCGACTTGGGAATGACCCAACCTGATTATAACCCGCAAATTATAGACTTGAACCGAAGCTGACTTAAACCCGAGAATGACCCGACCTGATTATAATCCGCAAATTATTGACTTGAACCGAACCCGACTCAAACCCGAGAATGACCCAACCTGATTCTAACCCACAAATTATTGACTTGAACCGAACCCGACTCGAACTCGTGAATTACCCTAACCCATGAAAATCCGAATTAAACCCGACCTATTGTTCACCCGACCCGAATGTAACCGACCTGTTATTAACCCTACCTAAATCGGACCCTAACCCGATAAGAAATATGACTCGACGTGACCCAACTCAAGAATGACCCAACCTAAACCCGACCCGCATATGTTATGAAATTAATCCAAATCGACCGACCCGAGTTGACCCGACCCACTATTACCCGACCTAAACCCGGCCCGTTTACCTGAATTGACAGCTCTATACCTCTATCTAAATGCAAACTAATAATTATACTCGTACAGAAATAACAACCTACAATATCAGATATTCATATTTTAGTTACACAAAAACTCTTCAAGAGAGTTATTTTATTTCGAGATATTTCCTTGTATCACATAAGTCCTCTCATTTTATTGTAAAATCGCAAAATAACGAAAATGAATAAAGTATGGGTTTTTCTAAGCTATGCCCCCAAGGTTATTGAGTTTCTAAGGTGTGCCCATGCTTTTTAAAAATTACAAAATATACCCTCCAACTTAAGGTGTTCATTCAACCGTACCCTATAACGTTAATCCAATGTTAGTAGTTGTGTTAACAGTTCATTACCACTCTTTGGAGAGAAATTTCATGCCCAAATTGGGTTAGAGTTATATAAGTAGGTTAACATTTAACATTTTTTTACAAATTTTCTCATATGTTTTTCCTTCTTTCTTTTAAAAGCAACCATTGATATGTCAAGCTCTCGGTGTATTTCTTATTCTTTTTTCTCATCCGCTTCTTATTACTTTCTATTTATTTACAATTCTAACGTCGAGTTTACGTCAGATGGTACGGTTGATTAAAAAACTTAAGTTGGAGGACACAACTTGTAATTTTGAAAAAGCATGGGCACACATTAGAAACTCAACAACCTTGAGGGCATAGCTTAGAAAAACCATAAAGTATTTTGTGAAATTATGTATGGAGTTTAATTTATAATATGGTACGGAGTACTTGTTATTACTTGTACTTTTTAACAACAGAGATAAAATGGAAAAAAATCAGCATCACAAAAACTTTGGATTTACCAAAATTTTATTAAACTAGTGAGTAGTAAGCGAGGCTAGATCGTTGTAGAAGATATATAATTTCCGGCTGTTAATTAAATTGAAGTTTATGTAATCGAAAATTTGAATTTGTGATTAGATCTTTTAACCTTTTAAAGTCAATTTCTCGATTTCAATCCACGTGCCTTTCATATATAACTACGCATTATACTATATTATTAATCTTTTCATCGAGTTGTGATCAATGGAGAAGCTAGAGCCTATGTATTTCAGTATTTCAATCAAGTTGTGCCTAAGTGTGTCAAGTGAAAAGTTTTCAATTTGAGTCAAGTCAACAGAATCAATTGTTTGAGAGAACAATTTGATTCTCTCTATAACTAAAATCGAAAGGCTCTTTGGGTAATTTAGAGACCTTTTTACTTAGTTTGTACCTTAATTTTGTTTACTAAGCATATTGAGTTAAGCAAAAACTCTGGAGTAGGTTAATTGTAACAAAGGCGTTATCCATTATAGTTTGAGTTAAAATCTTCCGTAGTTAAGGTTTTTTTACATCTATCGAGTCTACAATTTAAATCAAGCAAGTTCCATAGACCCTTGCCCTTCTTGTTGTGTTCCATTATTCAATTATCAGCTCTTAGACAATATATAATTTAATTTGATGTATACATGTACTATTTTCCAATATATTCCTTAATTATCAGTTACATTTTTTTTAAATCTTTTAAAACAATAAACAATCGAGATTTGCATGCATCATGCATGTGCATTGTGCTGCTGTTAATAAAGTAATGAACCACTGCTTGATGAATTGAAGTTGCATGTCCATTATTAGTCAAACACTCAACTAACCTAAGACAATCATTTTATTTTTTAAAACGCGTGTAATATAATAATTACATATTTGTATTATTGATCGTTTCTTATCAATATATATATCGTATATGAGTAAAGCTCATCATTCATCCTAAGAGATTTATTAGAGAGCAAAAATATTAGTAAGGGGAGAAATGAATAGTCAAATGGAGCACTTTCAACCAAAAAAACCTAGCTCCAATGTCTCTCTAACAAAGCATGAACTTGTCATCTCCACCGTAAGTTCTCCACACTATACGTGTATGTTGTGTATGTAAAATTAATACTACCTCAGTTACTATACATATTATATGTTCAACTTTTGGGTAGTATTTGTGAGATATAAAAAATCAAAAGTTGTATATAATAAATAGGTAACAGTGGTATTAATATGTACCTTTTTTTTATACAATACAATTTTAAATTTTAATTTTTTATGCGTAAAATCCTTTATATATAATTACTTTGACATACATAGAAAAAGTCTTGATTAGTAATAATATTACGAATTTTATGTTTAATTGATTTAAGTAGTTGCCTTAATTTATAGGTCGTAAGAGATGTTGAAGTATACACTGAGAGCACAACGCGAGAATTGAAAGCCAAACCTCCAACACCAGCTATCAAAGCAGGAAGAAATGGCCAACATCACAGCTCTCAAGCTTGACAAACTTCTGTTGCATGCATTATGAATATTCCAACTACAAATATTTCTGTCCAAAAAAAAAAAAACACCTACAAATATTAATTTGATCAACTTTGTAATATACTCCGTATTATGTATCAATTTATATTTTGTATTTGATTAGTATACTTGTTAAATAGTTTATAATACAAGTAATTATTAAGTGCATGATATGTTTAACATGCATGTAATCCAATAATATAGATCTTGATTTTAGTATGGAGAGATTGAGAGAATAAATTTGAACTGGTAGAATGTGATTGTAATATACTACTCCGTAATATAGTTACGTAACGTAGAACATTTGATGGGCGTGTTATGTACTTACGTGATTATCTATATGTGTGAGTACATCATCTGTCTCATGAAGCTCTTCTTATAGTATATCTACGAAGTATTCTGTTTTGTACTTGTGTTTATAGTTTTACTATTAGTTAACTACTATGAACATACTTCTAAATTATACTTCGTATAATATCGATTATTAATCAACATGGAAGACTTTTTAAAATGAAGCCACTATAACTACTTTCAATCTCAACCGTTTAAATATTAATGATTAATCTTGTCTATTCATATATTTGAGTTCTAAATTATAAATAATTTTAAAAAATTTCTTGATTTTAATTGGGGGGGGGGAATACTGCTTTGACTGCCATCGATGAACTTCCAAGTATTCAAACCTTCAACCTAAATCTCCATTAAATAACTATGGAAGAACAATTAATATGGATAAGGATTAAAGTATAACCAAACAATCAATGGAAAACTGCCATAAAATTTTATACACGGGATAGTTTAATACGAAATACATGAAAAATTGGATAGGATCAACTTATGGCACTAATTGATGGATTTGATGTTAAGTGGATTGTTTGGCTCTTCATACTTTGCATAAAACATCAATGAAAGCGGGAAGCCAATGGAAGCATTCGTAGTACTCCAGTTTATTTTTAGTGGAATAAGGGATGAAAAACAGTTAAAGAAATAATTTTTGGTTATTTTTTATTGGATCAACTTAAATCAATGACCCTAATTAACATACTTCGTATTTAATATTATAATTATACATTTAAAAAAAAAAACCAATAATACTCGTATTGTTTTGCCAACAAATCAACAATAGTAGACCTAACTTGTTGCGATTGTGTTAAGATTGTCGATGATCCTTTCACATGACAAGAAATTGTACGACTCTGTTGTTATCTCTTCAATAGTTTCTTGCGTAATCATTGTTTCATCAAAGTTATTTTTAAAGAAAAGTCATGCTTAGTAAGCATGAGCTTGTGATTAAAATATTAAACGCATTAAATGCATGCTATTATAAACATATTTTCTTTTAGGTCAATTATTGGTATGATCAACGGATCATATACTTGGTCAAACTGCAACCAGTTAATAGGAAAATGACAGTTCAAGATTAAAAAGAAAAATCAAGAATCACCTAACACTAATCCTCAATCGATACGTAATTTTGAAATACGATAGACTTTCAGTTTTAAATTAATTAAGAAAAATATATTTAATACTTATATTCAGATCTTATGAAGATATATGTAGTTAACAGGATTTTATAATATGATTAAGACTAAAGTAGATTAGTTATATAACTTATATATAAGTGTGTTACATATCCACCATCATTGTTAAGGAAAAAGAAAGAAAGGTGAAAATGGATAGTGGTAAGAACAAGAAGGCTGAGAACTCTCAAACAAATATGTCCACCTCCAATGTCTCCTCTTTTTCACTTACAAAACATGAATTTTCCATCATTAATGTAAGTTTAATTTCTTACCCTTTTTATTTCTTTCTCTTATGTTTCCTTTGAGAGTCAACTAGTAAGGGTTCGATTCTTATTAGTCACTGTAGTAAAATCCGCACAATAACAAGCTAATTAGGTATTATTGTGTTGATTATTTCCTTAAATTGATGAGTAAAGTTCACAAGTCAAGAAATAACATGTTACATACGTGTTATATATATTTTGATTTTGATTTATTAACATTGCTATATAGATTACCTCCAATACAAAGATTTATTGTTTTTTTCCAACTAAGATTTTATGGTAAAAGCTAAGTTGCTTTCAAATTTCAATTGACAGAGTCGTGAAGTGTACACAGAGAGCACGGTAAGGGAAGTCAAACTTGATCCTCCAACACCAGCAGTCAAATCTGGGAAGATTGGTCAAGTTCACAACTCTCATTCTTAAGTCTTCCAAAAATCACAAAATAACAGAAGTCATGTTATGTAGTTGTTACATGTTTGAATAAAATTATCAGCGCGACGGTGTAGGAGAGGAAGTACAAGTTTATCACTTCGATCAATACGGCTTTGTAGATCTTGATTTGAATGTAATGTCTCATTAAGTAAGTAATGCAAGTAGAAGTATTTATTTTCAGAGAACATATTACTAGTACTACCATACCTGATTTCTTTTATTATCACTTCCAAACTGTTATACTTAGGAGTGAGCAAAAATTCTGGGTACCCTAAATCAGAACCGGAATCTTTTAAGAACCGCAGGTTTTGGAACCGAAATCTATACAAGAGGTTTCGATTCTGGGTAATAAAAGAGAGAACATGTTGCAGCAGGTTGCAGTTCATATTCTCGATTGTTTGGAAACGAAACCTATAGGGTACCCTATACCTTAATAAGGTGTTACCTAAGCCCAATTTGTATTTAATATAAATAAAAATAATTGTTATAACTATATGTATTAAATGTGGTATACAACTATTTTTGGTTTGTTATATTTGCAAACTGTAAATTTATAACCCTACAATTTATTTTAAAAAAAATTGCAAAAAAGTACGAAATATGGTAAATTACAGGGTACCCTCAATCGGAACACGGGGTTCCCAATTTTCAGAACTTGTTCAATAAGTTCCAGTTCCGTTTCTCATTTTTAGGAACCTATCGTAACAGATTTCGATTCCGATTTCAAGAAATTTAACAGGGTACACTGTTCTGCTCACCCCTAGTTATACTAGTAATCTAGTACAATTACTCGAATTTTGAAGTCCGTTAGAAGGGATTATTTCAACTAAAAGCTTAAACTGATAGTTGAACTCCAAGATTGGTTTATATAGTCTATCACACCCCTTCACATGAGAGCTTTTTGGGGCTTGAAGTGTGGATGCAACATGAACCCCCTCATGCCCAGCGCGAAATATTCCACTTGAAAACGTTGAATCTAATACCATGTTAAAGGACCATTTTAACTAAAACCTTAAACTAATAGTTGAAATCGATGATCGATTTATATAGTCTGTCAGTTCGGTTTGGTAGTATGGGTATGGGTGAATTCAATGCAGCCTTAATAATTTTGGTATGGCTCAAATCTTCTCCAATGGCCCATGGCCCATCCCCTAACCCCCGAAATCAATAATAACTACCAACTCCCCGACTTCTCTACACGGGTTTAGGCGGTCATTCGCTCACTCCTCCGCCTCCGCCTCCGCTGCCGCCGTGCTCCGCCACTTCCCCCAAATACTCGGCGAGGAGAGAGAAATGGGAAAGGGGAGAACTCTGGAATGGGCGGCGCGTGCATCACACTTTTGCGGGATTCCCCGGAAGTTAACCATCACTTCTGTCGGCGCTTTTGCCAAGGCGGTGGTGACGCTTTTCAACTCCACCACTGTTCACAATGGCGATAATCTTCTTCATCTCGTTCGATCTCGTCCTCCTGGTGTTCCTCTTCTCACCGTCAGCAATCATATGTCCACGTTTGTTTCTCTCTCCTCTGTTCAGTTTAATTTTCAATTGGTTTTGTTGAATTTGTTGCAGCATTAATATTTAGGAACTAACCCTAATTTTGGTCCTTAAATATCGAATGTCACCTTTATGATTAGTATGATTGTTTTGTTACTTAAGCTCGATCTTTAAAATAGTTTGATTGTTTATTGCTGTTTGAATTTGGAGGGAAAAGGTGCAGGAAAGTTTATGTGGAAATGTAGAATGTTGAAAGTTTGGGGTTATGGATGATTGGATTTATAACTTGTCTGGTGTATTTGAGACTTTGTATTGCTTGATTGCTCAGTTTCATCTCGACTTGATCAATTTAATTTTCTTTTGTGCAACGATTGTAAACCGACATATTGAACAATTGAAGATGCATCAGACTGTTTTTGGTTCCTTGGTTAGGTAAAGAGGTTTAGAACTAGAGAAGGCATTTGTGTATTTGAGTGATGCCAATTGGTTAACAACTACCCAGAGTCTTGTTGCCATTTGACGGCTGAATGGGTGATTGATCCCGGCACCTCTTTGTTTTGTTTCAAGCCTTATAGGGATCTTTTGTCTCACTTTTCCTCATCTATGATGCAGAACAAATTTCATATCGTCTTGTCATGAACTCAAATATACACTTCTGATCAAGTAGGTTTGACTTTGGCTAAATTAGGAGGGAGGAAGATAAAAGATGAGAAACATGATAGCCTAATAGGACATGTGATTCTTTTTTTTTTAGTTTAGGCTCCAGTTTTTTAGCATAAAGAATGCCTTCTTATATTCTCTTGTCGCATAGGGGAAGTATATAATTTCAAAATTATCTGTCAAAGTATTTTAGAACGCCCGTAAAATGTTGGTACATTTCTAATAATACTAATGGTTTATGATTTGCTTTTTAAATCTACTTACAATTAAGTGATATAAAAGCAACTCCTGATGGTTGTTTTGAGGCATTTGTTTGCAATTTCTATGAAGTTGGAGCTATTAGCCAACCCATTGTAGCACAAAGAATTGATTATCTTTGTTTGACAAACTAGATTATTTTTATTAAGTGAAAAAGTTATATTAAAGAATTATTTGACAATTAGCTAAACATAAGAGCATAAATTAGCTAGAAATGGCCCTTCAATAAATAAATAATAGCTAGAAATGGTGTAGGCTGTGTAGCATGAGAAAATGTTGTGGCTATATAAGCTGGAAGGCAACTATTAGAGTTGCTCCAAACATAAGCTACAATGGTGTAGCTAGGAATTGCCTGCAAATTTTATAAGTCTCAAATTAGTAGCTTGACCATTGGAGTTGAAATGTGGATTTAGCTTGGCAATTAATTTGCTTTACATAAAGTTGGCAAAAGGAAGAATGGCAGCCATCCACTTACCGACAAATACATTTCATTTAGATAGCAAGCTATGTAGAAAAGGAAATAGATTGAAATCTTTTGTAATATGACAAGTTAAACTGACCATGTCATATCATTAGTTTTTGGCAGATGGAGTTGCAAAGTTTGGTTCTCAAAGAAGGGAGCTTAGGGCAACTCCAATGGCTGCCACATAAAATCAAACTACTTCCCAATGCATAGCAACTAGTTTGCTATTTGTATTGGTCCCACTTTGGCCTTTTGTCAACTAATTCTGTGTCAACCTTTGCCAATTTTTTTGTCAAGCTAATTTATCATTTCAACTCCAATGATCAAGCTAGTAACTTGGGATTTATAAAGTTTGCAAGCAAGTGCCTTGCTAGAACCATTGAAATTTCTCTTTCATCTTCAGTGTGCTGCCACTTTTCTCTTATTGTTCTAACATAAATTAAATTTGCTTCCTAGAAATGATCTGTTATAGTTTATAACTACTACGATTGACTTCAATTCTTAAGAAAAGCTTTGGCTATAGAAAAGAACTGAACAAGGAAATAGAGGGAAACCAGTATTTTTGTTTCTACTGCCCTGTATTTGTAGTTGGATTTCAACTTGCTCCTGTATATTAGAAGAGACTGTTCTCGCTTAGACTGATGGAACTGTAAATTTTGACAGGTTGGATGATCCACTCATGTGGGGATTCAAGGGCTTTCCTATAACTGATGCAAAATTGGCAAGATGGGTACTTGCTGCTGAAGATATATGCTTTAAAAATACAGTGCTGTCTTATTTTTTTCGACTTGGTATTATCTGGCTATGGCTCCTATCTGTCTTGTCATTATGTAGTTGATAAATGCATATTCTGTCTGTTTTTTACAATCTTGTGGCATCTATTTCATTATTATTTAAGCTTCTGACCTAATTGCTTTAAGCTAGCCTGATAATGTGAACTTAGTATCAGACTTCACTGTTAAAGTAATGGGTGATGATTTAATTATATTGTCACAGACCTGGTTGGCTTTCGATGTTAGGGGCATATTAAAAGAATTGTTTCTGTAGGTATAAATGAATAATGTGTTTCTATCTGGGAGAGGTTTTCGGAAGCAATGAACTTCTTGAAATGGAGACTTGTAACATAATGAAAAAACATAGTCGCAGTATTCAGTAGATGGTTGAGTCATATTCTCCTTTTTCGATATATAAGTAGTTCCTTCTGTATCTTATTCTTGATTTTTACATTTTTGGCTTTTATGAAGTATATTTCTATTTACCCATGGGTCTGAACATCTTGAACCTAAATACCTAATAGACTTTGGCGATAATGACCTGTCTTTGAACCGTTATTATTCTACTAATGTCGGTCTTATGAATTGCACAATTCCTCATGTTATCAAGGAAGATTTGTGTTAGGCTTTATGCCAAAGTGAGATTTTGTAATCCTGTTCTTTTATTCCTGAAAGATGCTGCATTAGTATCACATAAATCCCTTTGGCTCTACTTGTTGCATTTATTGTTTCCAATGATAAGCAATGATTTACAAAGTATCATTTACAACATATTGCAATACATCATTGTTACTACTTTCAAATTATACATGTTCTTGACTGTCTGAAACTTTTCTTTAGCCTTAGCAGATTTGCATGCATGAAGTCCGCTTGAGTTGTGCTCTCTTCTGAACGAGTATATTGCACAGGAAAATGCATACCTATAACTAGAGGTGGTGGAATTTATCAGGAACACATGAATGAGGCACTTGAGCGTTTAAGCGATGGAGAATGGGTATAGTCTTGTCATTTTGTTACCTGGCAATCTTCTTGAATAGATTTACATATTGCCTTGACCAGTATATATAATGTTTCCCATGTAATATATAGTTATGACTTAGTGAACTTTATTTCCTAACTGAAACATGGTATTTTTCAAAATGGAAGTGTATATGAAGGCTTACAAGATCTTTGTTTACAAGTGTGATAGGACATGGTTATTTTTGCACGAGAATTTATAGTATTATTCTGAATCAACATGTTTATAGATATATTGGGCTACTCCTATTGTCAAGTACTGGTCACTTGCTTATAGGTAAAACCGTAAAACTTGGCTGGTATAGGGTTTAATTGCTTTTACATGTATTTAATGTTCTCATGCTGTATGAAATGTTATTGAAATTGTTCATAAAGTTTAATGAATTTTGAGATAGAGGAATGTATTTCTAACTATTTGATATAGATATGAATTCAAGGAGAAGTTAAGTAAAAAAAAAATTGTCACGGAGCGGTCTTAAGAGTTTTAAGTTCCATAGCTATGAATTCATGGAATACTACCTTTGTGTAATGATAATTATCTTGATCTTTCAGCTGCATACATTTCCTGAAGGGAAAGTGTCTCAAGAAGATGGTCCAATAAGAAGATTAAAATGGGGAACTGCTAGTCTTATTACCCGTGCCCCAGTGACACCGATAGTTTTACCAATTTTCCACCATGGTTTCCATCAGGTAAAAGAGGGGGTGATCAACAAATTCCTGAAAGAGATTATTCACTATTTCTTTTGGGGATGTAGCGTCATGCAATTCTTTCCTTATTCAGGTCATGCCAGAAGATTACATATTTGGTAGAAGACCACCATTTCCACTCATCAACAAGCACATTAAGATTATTGTTGGTGAGCCAATAGAATTTGACCTTCCTAGATTGAGGAAGATAGCGTTATCAGAATCTCATAATGAATCAGAACCAAGGCTTGGATGGCCGAGCATCGCCCCTCATGGTTTAGATGAAGTAGCTCAGAGATATCTCTACTCCAACATATCAGAGAAGATACAAATCGCCTTGGAGAGTCTGCGGCAGTATGGGAATTCAATCTCAAAACAAAGAGATTAAAAATTTGAAATCTCTTGAAGTTATATACACATTGAAGATCTTTAATTATTTACCACAACTTTGTTACCCAATATTCAACTGATCCAATTTTACTGGCTATTGCTCCATGGTAAATTCTTGGCTTATAGCCCTTATAATCTTATGTTTTACCAGGTATACAATTATTTTTTGCATCTAGATTTTTATTTTTTCTAACATCTGCTTTTTGAATAAAATTACATAATGTAAGAACTACGAGTATTACAGTAATTAAAAACAATACTTGAGTCACTTGCTAATACTCGTAATAAGTACGAGTGGATTTTTTAGATTAATACTCCGCACAACCTTTGAAGGGTATCCGTTTTACTCCTGCTTGAACTTGTGGTAGACGTGTATGAAACCCTGACTGACAAAATGATTGCCTGATTGCCCATGCGACCATACAGGCTACACCACACTATGAACTTAACCCAACAGACTCAACTTCATATCCTCATTCCATTTCCCACCATTAATCTCTCTACTCTCTGAAAATAAAAACAATGCTTATAACCATTAACTCCCAACTCACACCCACCCGCACCGTCGCCTTCACCACCCCCGAAAACAACTACGCCTCTCGACTCGCTCTCCTCCTCCACCGCCACAACTTCACCCCACTATCCTGCCCCACCGTCATCGTCGGCCCAACCACCGCCACCACCACCTCTCTCCGCCACCACATCTCCCTCCACTTCTCCGCCGTCACGTTCACCTCACGCGCCGGCATCACCGCCTTCTTCACCGCCCTTTCCCACTCCCCACCCCCTCTCCCCGCCGACCAAGACTTCATCATCTCCGCCCTCGGAAAAGACGCCGAGCTTCTTACTCCTGACTTCATCTCCTCCTTATCCCCTAACTCAGATAATATCAGAATCATCCTTCCTTCCAACCCCACCCCAAGTGGACTCGTGGACTCACTCGGGCCTGGTCTGGGCCGGAAAGTCCTCTGCCCCGTTCCACTCGTTTTGGGCCTTGAGGAGCCCACCGTTGTGCCGGATTTTATACGAGACTTGGGCCTAATGGGCTGGGTTCCTTCTCGGGTCAATGCGTATGAGACGAGATGGGCTGGGCCCAAATGTGTGAAAAAGTTGGTTGAATTGGATGAGTTAGATGGGCTTGTGTTTACAAGTACGGCGGAAGTTGAGGGTTTGTTGAAGAGTTTGAGGGAATATGGGCTGGACTGGGAGGGGATGAGGAAGAGGTGGCCTGGGCTTGTTGTAGCGGCCCATGGGCCTGTTACGGCTTCTGGGGCTGAGAGGTTAGGGGTTAGAGTTGATGTTGTTAGTTCTAATTTTAGTAGCTTTGAGGGAGTTGTTCAAGCTTTGGATCATATTTGGGGAAATTCTGATTCCTTTTAGTTTTTGTTTTGTAGTTCTCTGTTTGTTTGTTTGTTGTGTAATACAGTATTCTTTGGTTTATAGGTGGACAAGAAAAGAAATGTTGTAAAAAGTTATGTTTTTGAGGATTTTGTTTTGTTCTCGAGAGATTTTGCTAGGTGGTATGTTATAATCATTGGCCTAAAATGGTAGATCTTACTATTATTATTATGTATTAAAAGACCAAATTTTTTGAAGTTGTGTATTGACGAAGTTTTTGTCTATAGTGAATTCAGTTATATTACGTATATTAATCGGAAAGACAAATATTCGGATTGGATCAATTGGATCGTATATTTTTCAAGGTTGAATAAATGACTCAAGAGTCAGAAGTATGTCAAGGGAAATATGAATTTCTTTTTCTTTGTATCAAACAAACATCTAACTACCTGAATGAAGAAGAAAATGAAAGACTGAAAGGATCACATTATTCTGGTGTAAGAAGTCCTTATTTCATATAAATAATCTGACAAAGAAAGGGACAACAAAGTACGCCATATTAGAGTGTTTGCCCATTACATACATTAAATGTTTTGTAAATTTGTGATCAATTATGTTAAATTTGACTGGTGTATTAATTACATGACTCATTAAAGAAATGATAAAGTGAATAGCCGTAAATTATTAAATATTAATGCGACTAATTTTAAGTTCAAGTTAATACAATGACTATACCAGCATTATATAACCTTTCAAATTGCGAAAATCAAAAATTGAAATCTAACGATGATATCGAACAAGTTGTTGTAACATTAAGGAAACGGAAGAAAGTAGATGTCATAGGCTCATAGTGTGCCAATAATGCTATTACGGAGTACAAACAATTTAGAGCACTAATAAAGGAATTTTCTTAGTTGACTGACTTGACTCTTGATAAGAAGGAAAAATAAAGAGGTGACTCTTAGTTATGAAATGATAAGCTTCTATTTAAAGATGGCAGAATATATTCTGATATAAGACAATAAGAGACCCCAACTCTAAGCTAGAGCGGGTAGAGCCACACCAATCAGATATATTACACACGCAGACACGCTATTATAATTGATTTGGGTATTTTATACCCGGCCAGGTGGCCCAATCAGAAAGTGTCACGTGTCTACCGTATAGGTGCCATTTGGACCTATGGAATGATGACACGTGGAGGGTGGACTCTTCTCCGTCCTACGTGGACTGAAGGTACAACAGGGACCATTCAGGTGGCGACACGTGTCACACAAAAAGTGCTTCAAAATCCTCTGGGCACAGTGACACGTGTCACTCAGGCATTGGCCCTAGGATGGCGGCCTTCTAAGGCCCAAATCCCGAGGCGCCGCAAAACGGCGTGACCTAATTACTAGGTCACCAGATCCTAGGAAGGCACACTTTTCAAAAGGACCCTATAAATAGGGACATTATGTCATTTATGACAGAGAGAATTTTTGACACGCAATACGAGACAATACGTCACTTATCTCACTTTACCTGAGCTTGGAATCCAAGCAGATAACTTTACTTCCGCACGTTTTATTTCCGAACGTTTGCTGACTTAATCTTCGGAGGCGAACCCCCAACCATCCGGAGGTCCGTTTGCTGTGCAGGTACAGGCGTCCTCAGTTGAATCCAGTTTCAGTGTTGTAACTCTCCCGAGGGACAAAAAACCCCGAAACTTTTGGCGCCGTCTGTGGGGAGAGTACCTCTGAAATGGCTTCACAAGAACCTGTACCAAATCCGGAGGCCATTCGGCCTCCAAATGATGTACTGGTCCAAACGGACCATGACTCAGGTGACGACGCTGATGTCGAAACCTATGTGGATCCAAATGGATCCCTCATCTCTAAACGCATCCGCAGTAAGGAACGGCGAGAGCGTCCCCAAGTTCAGGCAGGACCAAGCAAAACTGGTGGTCAGCCAAAGAAGCCCTCGGGGCGGCCGGTTGATCCTTCCAAGGCGGCAGGATCAACTCCCGTCACTCGGGATGAGCTAATGTCACTCCTGAGAAGCCTCAGGGGTGAAATCAAGCAGCTCGCCTCAAAAAAGTCGCCTACTCCTAGAAAGGAGCAGTCGGCCAAGAAGCCAGCCCAAGCTGGCAAACAGAAGTCGGTCAGGGACCGTCAGCCGACTCCTCATCCTGCTCCTAAGGAGAAGTCCAGGCCCCAATTTGACCTCAATCGGCTCCGTTTTCCAGAAACGGGCACAAGAAAACCCATCCGGCACATACAGCCGGATGGTAGCAAGAAAACGTTCTCTGACGCTCGGCAATACATTGAGGAGAGGAGAACCCAGCAATCAGAGTCGGCTTCAACGTCGACTTATCATGATAGCTTTCGGAATACCTCTGTACGGTGTTCACAGTCTGTACATGAGACTCCAGCAAGCAGCCAAAGGGTTCAGTCTGGGCCGCATGTGATTCAGTCCGCCCAGTACATGGCACAGCCATTGTACCAGACGCCAGTTGTACCTTACATGCAGCCTACCCTCTACGGGGACAGGCGGCATACGACTATCAGCCGATGGATTGGCAACTTAGGCTGCAGCACCTTGGAGACCAACCCTCTGCTTTCTCCAGAGAAATAACTGAAGCCGTACAGCCGGCTAAAGCTAAAACATTCTGGTTGGAGCCTATGACGGGACCTCCAACCCAGAGGACCACCTGTTGGCATACACCCACCTCATGTATTTACAGGGGTTGGATGATGCCGCATGGTGTCGTTGCTTTCCAGCCACCCTGAAGGGCATAGCCCAGAAGTGGTTTGGCAACCTGCCGGCTGGCTGCATAAATAGCTTCAAGACGCTTGCGTTCTTGTTTGCATCAAACTTCTCTATGAACATCCCTGCCAAAAAGACAAGTCTTGACTTGGGCAATGTACAACAGGGAGATAGAGAAGGTTTGCGATCCTACGTCAGGCGGTTCAATCTGGTCCGAATCCAGATTCATGGGCTGTCTGATGAGGTCGCCTTCACAGACTTCTTTAAGGGTCTAAAGGACGGGTCTACTTTTAAGTACGAACTCGTCTGCAAACAAATCTTTACCCTACAAGGAGCTTTGCGAGAGGCGGAAGCCTACATACAAGCGACCGAACTCTGATCCTCCAGTAAGCAGTCGGACCATAAGAAGTCCGACCGGCAGAAAGAGAGTCGGCCTGCTCAGCCGGCTCCTAAGCCAGAAGAGAGCAAAAAGAAAAAGCAAGTCTGGGCCATTGATAACTCTGATCAACCGGCCCAGAAGAAGAAAAAAGAGTGGAAACCGTACATCCCAAGGTACGAATTCCACAAGGACTGCTGCTCCATCCTTTTGGAAATTAAGGATCGGCTAACTCTTGAAAAGCCGACTGCTATGAAGGGTTCCGCTGAAAATCGGAACAAGAACAAGCATTGCCATTTCCATGAGGATGTTGGCCATGACACGAACGACTGCTTTAGTCTCAAGCGGGAGCTCGACCGTCTGGCCGACAAAGGACAGCTGAAGTCCTATGTGAAGTCCAAAGTGACTTCAAAGGCAAATCCGGGGCAGTCCAAGAAAAAGACTCCCCAGCTCGCTGTGAGTACCGAAACTGATGAAGAACTGGTGTACACCATAGCAGGCGGATTTGCTGGTGGTGGCCCGACCATTCGGGGTACCAAGGACCATCTAAGAAAGATGGTCAATTCTGTTGAGGAGGGGGATGCAGCTAGCACATCCACCTTCCCTAAAGTTGTCATCACCGAACAGGACAGAGGCAAAGTCCGTCGGCCGCATGATGACCCTGTTGTCATTGAGTGTAAA